TCAGAGGGAAAGATTTGCAATTCTGATATGTCATGACAATATTTTGGGCTTTTTCCAGTTTCAGATTTTTATTACAGTAGTTTTAGCTTGGTTTGGTTTGAACATTTTGGCTGAGAAGAACTGAACAAATTTATGTATCAGTAAATGTTCTAATAACAATAAAGAGTTTCAGATAAACAAAACTCTCTGAAAAGCTGTTTCAGTTATTTATGCATCCCCTAAAGCCAGTTATTGCTTGTTATTTTTTTCTTCATTATTACTTTTTTTTTCCTCCTTTTTTTTTTTTTTTTCCGTGTGATCATACTTGGCCACAGGGAAACAAAAATGTATTTAAAGGAACAGACAAAATTTATCCTGCAGTAACTTCCTAAAGTGGGGAAAAATTACTCTGATCCAATAAAGCTTGTCTCTGAGGCTGCTGAAGCCCATCTCTATATGCATTGATCTCTCTGGACTGCTTCTTTAGCCAGTGAGAGAGGGCTGAACTGCCCTTTGGAAGCAACTGTTACTTTTCTAAAGTTAAGAGTCTCAGTTACAGACTTACACCCAGGTTGATCCTTAGGTTTTGTTTTTGTGTTTTCCTGAGAAGCATTCATTTGCCCTCCTGTGTTTCTGTACTGCACCATTTTGACTGTTTCATCTAGCATTGCTTTAATGAACAAAAGGCATCTATAGCATTGCAGAAACAAGATGTTGCCTTTGCAAAGTATGATGTAAAAATTGCTCTTTCCCACACTCAAACATGCAGCAATATCCCACAGGATTAGGAAAAGCAGTAGGCCAAGTGATATGGAATGGGATGATCCCCAGGTGTCTGGAAGAGAATAGTACTCTCAAGGGTCTGTAGGCTGCCAAACACACAGTGCCCTCTGATTTAACTTTTCACTCAGCCCCTGGGAAGCACACCATCTGCATTTTGGTGGGTGGAAAGGACTATTGCCCCTCTGTTAATTCTTCTTCATGCATATATAAAAGACTGACCTCTCAACATGTTTTATTCTCTTTTGCTACACTTTCAAAGAGATTAACATGAGAAGTTATAAACCTACAGGCACACACCAAAGGAAATTTTGTTGTTGTTGTTGTTGTTTAAATTTGAAATAAGACCAGACAGTACAAGAGCCTGCAATCCTATCAGTGTTCTCAGGAAAGCAGGTGAGATCAGTGAATCTCCCCGTGCTTCCTTTCACTTCCTTGTAAAACCCAAAGTGCATAGCAGGGCATCCTGCTTACTTAATTGTCTCTTGGAAATTCTCCAGCAGTGTGAAGGTTTTATCATGTCCCCAGGAGATCCCATTTCTGTAGACTGTTTCTTTCTAGTACAGCCTCTTTCCTATGGTTGTTGTATTTTGGTTTTCTTTGTGGTTTGTTGGTTGTTGGTTTTTTTTATTATAGTGATGAAATATTTATTAACCACAGCAACAGCCAGGAGGCAAAAAAGGTGTTTGCTTTAATATAAAGGAAAGCATTATTTGAGAGTACCCTGCTAGCTGAAGGGTGGAAAGGGACCAACCTCAGTAATTGTGAGAAAATGTAAAGACTCTGTATCTTTCATTGTGGAACCGATGTAATGACTTTCTTTTGTCCAGCAGCTCTACAAAACTGTAATGTAAACAAACTGTAGTGACTGGAACTTTCCTTACATCTGTGTATTTTTCCTCCTATAAGAAGCAGAAATAACATTAAGGACCCTATGACAAAAGGAGAAAAAAAAAAAACACAAAAAAGAAAAAAAAAACCCAGATGGTGCTGTGTTGCTAAGCAACTTTAAAGAAAGATGAAAGAAACCGCAGAGCTCTATTTAGGTCTTGTAAAGACTCCAGCAGTAAATACCCACTCCTTTGATCTTATTTAACCATGATGATGCTTTATCATCCTCCGTTGCTGAGAAGAAAAAGTTTTGGAGACAAATAAAAGAGGTAGTTATGACAGTCCTTGAAAGGCCTAGAGATTTAGGATGGCAGCCTGTCAGTAAATAGTAGGTAAGAAAAACAGTTATAATTACAGTGTCCAGCTCAACCATGATCAAGTCTAACATTACGTTGTCTATTATATAATGTCTGTCCTTTCCCTTCTTCTCCAGACCCAATTTTCCCTTTACATCTGAAGCCTTATAGTACAGCCATGATCAGTGCAGTTGTGGAACTTGGTTACATTCCTGGATGTCACATCAGTCTGTGTGTTCTCGGCCACCTATAGATAGAAGGCAGATGGCAGTTTCAAATGCATGTGCATTTGTAATTCTCACTCTAATCCATTGAAAAATAAGTAGAAAGTGTTGAGGGTCACTGTCTCCATTACAGTGAACAAGCCACAGGTAATGCTTGCAGACGATTTATCTCCTGTCTAGTCAGTCTTTGGCTGTCATTCTGTTTTATGAAAA